AGTGGCTGGATGCCTTCTTATTCCAAGCACAGGATTTCTTAAGTTTCTGTGATTCAGGATACACCTCCCCGTGGTGATGGGATTCTGAAGACATAGCCACGAGATCTGCATGAGTGTTCCAGGAACACTGTGATGCATACAGCAAAGCAGGATGTACATTGTTGGCTTAGCGTCTGGGGTACCAATGCCTGGGTCTTGGGGGGCAGAGGGTAGAATGAATCCACCATGCACGTTAGTCACCCAGTGTTCCATAGTGACCTTTAGTTCCTTTTCTGGGGTTTTATCCCCATTTTTTGATGGGCACAGTATCATTTCCCCTTATAGGCTGAATTGTGCCCTCCCCCCACCAAAAAAATTTGAATGTTGAAGTCCTAACCCCCAGTACCTCAGAATGCGACTGTATTTGGAGATAGGGTCTTTACAGAGGTGATTAAGGTTAAACAAGGTTATTAGGGTGGGCCCTAATCCAATAGGACTGGTGTCCTTATAAGAAGAGGAGATTAAGACACACACACGCAGAGAGAGGGAAGACCATGTGAGGACACAGGGAGAAGACGGCCATCTGAAAGCCAAGGAGAGAGGCCTCAGGAGAAACCAACCCTTGATCTCAGACTTCCAGCCTCCCGAATTGTGAGAAAATAAATGTCTGTTGTTGAAGCCTCCCAGTCTGTGGGACTTGGTTATGGCAGCCCAAGAAACTAATGAAGCCCCTAATCCTTATATTTGCCCATATTGAAGCCCAGCTGCCACTTTTCTGCCCACTCAGAACCTGCAATGGAGCCTCAGCAGCTTAACATTTTTTTCAAAAAATAGGAGAACCATCATGTCATCTCTCCCTTCTCACTCAAACTTCTCTGTCACTCCCAGTCTGATTTACACTTAGCACCTGATTATGTGGTTTCTAACTCTCTAATTGTCTGAGCCGCTACAGTATATGCTGTCCTGGCCACCATTCACTAGCATCCATCTTGTCCCCCAGGCTAGCTTCTTGAGGGCAAGGCCAGGTCCCTTTTGCCTCACATCACCTCACACAGCACTCAGCTGGATACTCTGGGTAGTAAAATCTACACTTGCAAAAGCAATAATTGGCTATTTGCCTTGAAATTATATTTGCCTAACTCTTCATTTAAAACTTAGCTCCCGGCCGGCCCCATGGCTTAGCGGTTAAGTGTGCGCGCTCCGCTACTGGCGGCCCGGGTTCGGATCCCGGGCGCGCACCGACGCACCTCTTCTCCGGCCATGCTGAGGCCGCATCCCACATACAGCAACTAGAAGGATGTGCAGCTATGACATACAACTATCTACTGGGGCTTTGAGGAATAAAGACAAATAAATAAATAAAAATTTAGAAAAAAAAATAAAGAGTTGTCACAATTAAAAAAAAAAAGAAAGAAATA